TTACCTGAAATGCTCGTAGATGGGGCTGTTCGTCACCCAAGATTTCACTGTACATTGTATCTGTCAGCCTATTTATTTATGATTTGCTAGCGGACCAGCTCAGTCTACTTCAATGTTCTCGATTCAAACGGGCAAGACAACGAGCCCGTGGATCCATGGTTAGTGTAAGACTTCTGATCAACGGTTTATCGATTCAAGACCCCAGTGATGCACAAACTGGATTTAGGTATGACGGCTAATGCGCCAAATACAGCCATTCTAGTCTGCCCTATGCTTGATGGCAGGGGTAATCTACCCACCTAAAGTAATTTGTGCGAATCGAAGAAAAACTTTACAAAGTTTCAATTGATATTTCAGGCAATGCGATATCTACCATACAAATAGCTCTCCTACATTTGTATACTAAAGTGTGACAAGTTTGATTAAATCCCTGTGGAAATAATGTTCTATCAGGGGACAGGAAAGCATACTACCTGAAGAAAAAAGTTTGGTTTGGCATAAATGATATTACCGAGTGTAATACGTTTTACCAGCAGTTTGTAATGCGTCGATGTTCGGAATGGGTTCGCAAACAAATGCTTCTGCTTTCAGAATACAAAAACAGTTCACTTTATCGACTTTCTGATGTGTGTTCTGTCACAAAATGCCTACTTTTCCTCATAAAGTTGCCACTAATTGGATCACCCACGTATAACCTCGCAAATGGTTATACAAAAACCTGAAACACCTAGTCGATGGATCGCAGTACGGTATCAAAAACTTTCACGCTTTCCTCCAGAGAATACGAGGCCTCAATATAAGTTCCGATAAACGTATTCGATGTGGCTGCTCTATTTTCGTCCATGCCACACAGCCTGGCCATTGAGAATATAGCTCGCTGCCTAAACAAAAGTCCCATTAACATTCCGACACTGCACGTTTTATACATGCTTGGGCTCTGCCTTAAGAATTATTGTCAATTTGATTATAAGTATTGCCAGCAAGTGAAGGCACCCCATGGGTTCACAAATATCAGGGCTTCTCGTCGACCTAGTTCTACAACGACCGAAATAAATCGTCTTTCAAACGTTGAGAAACAAAATATGGCCCCACTACGCAGATGATTCCTTTGCGAAGTGGAACAACTGCATCAAAGTCTTAATGCTGTCTTCCCTGCCATCCAATTCACTCGCGAACAAGCAACAGAAGACACCCTTCCGTTCCTCGACGTCAGGGTGCGAATAGTAATGATGACAATCTGGAAACCAGTATCCACAGGAAAAACTCCAACCCCGAAATAATACTGAATTATAGGAGCAACCATCCTGCGGCCCACAAAAGAGGTTGCGTTAAAACGCTTTTTCACCGCGCCTTTCGGAACTATAGCAGCGAGCATCTATTTAAAAGAGAACGTTCCTGCTTATACAAATTATTCCGATCGAACTGATATTCGAAGAGTTTCTTGAAAAACTGTCTCCGACGTCAGATACAGTCAGAAGATCGGAGCTCCAACGCAGAAGTGGTACAGCGGACATTCTATTCCTTACTCTACGTGCACGAACTTTCTGAAGTGATCGCCCGAAACTTAAATGGGCTCGGCATCAGCATCGCTCACAAGCTGGCGTCCTTCCTGAGGTCAGCTCTATCTCGCGTTAAAGACAACATACCAAAAGAGCACCAAACCAATGTAATTTATCGCATTCCATGTGCTGACAGCCCTAGTGCCTACATAGGTCATACAGGTCGGAAACTTGGGACCCGCATAAATGAACATAAGCTGGCCATCGGAGGACGCGACCCATTGTCTTTCGTGTTTGCACACGCTATTCATAATGACCACCGCTTCAATTGAGACGGAACTGAAGTGGTCGCCACGGCTAATGCAAAACAAGCACGAGAATTTCTCGAAGGTTGGCATTCCACCACGTACACTTTTAACAGGCACGTTGACCTTGATTCATACTACGCCGGGCTGTGCACATGCTGCACTAACATGCGCACCGCCTGAAACAACATCAGTCTATCCGTGCTCGGCCAAGTGGAACTTCGCGGAGCCTGCATTCCCCCCGGGCACGTGGCTCCCAATCGAAGCGTTCACACCCTCTCTCAGTTGCAGCGCCTATCGTAGGAGGATTTGCGTCACCCTAACCCTTCCCGCTAACCCCTATTCGAAGTAACCTCTGCCCCCAAATTCTCTAGTACGATGATCTCAGCCCTCCCTTTCATTCACTCCGACGAAGAGCTACTGTCACTAGCTCGAAAATTCCCCAGTAAAACTCCATTTTCCGCCGAGCCTTCTTTCTACATTTATCATCTCGGAATGCATACAATCATAGTTATTCAAAAATGCGTATATTTAAAGCGATTAGCATATGCCGTAATGCCGTTTTTATAACAAATGACCTAACAAGTAACCCGAGAGAGCGCATTGCAGTTTACACGGCTCAAGCCAGCGTTTCTATAAGAACATTG